TGCCTCCTGCCCCTTGGCCCTTGGGGTACCATCCTCAGTCCACCAGCAGCCGCTCTCCTAACCCAGGCTCAAGCTCTCCATAGCCAAGTTTCTGATGCCACAGCTGACCTCTTCCGACACCTACCTCTTACTCTTTGGTATATCCCCAGTGCCTGGCAGTCAGGGAATTATTATCAAGGATGAATTGTTATTCATTATTAATTAATAATTATCTAGTTAATCAGGCTGACTGTCTAAAAAAGGCCCATTCTACTCTTTCACTCAGCAGGACCTCAGAAGCTAGAACTGGGAAGCAGGAATAATGGGGAGAAGCCAGCTGGGGAAAGAGGGAGCACGGTGACTTCATAATCTAATTTCTGCTAGTCTTTCCTTCTATCCTTCATTCCGTATATGCTAAGTGTCTACTGTGTGCCCTGAGGACACCACAGGTGGCTGCTTCTTTTCCTCCATTTTACCTTCTCACCCCACTTCTGACACCTTCCCTCCACAAGAGGGGAGGCAATAACCCTGTGTTCTCAGTCCTTGCAGGCAGGGCACACACGGATGCCTCCTGGATTCGATTTTCCCTCAGTTTCTGACAAAACATGCATGTACAGGGGGATTCCTGATGACCAACAGGAATGTGGCCTGGCTCCAGATTAGGAAGGATGAAGACAAGGGAGTCCTGGAATCCTCTACCAGCACCCATGTCACAAAGATGTACCACAGTGCCACCAGCAGCAGCCCCACAGGACCAAACCTAGGGGAGGCCAGCAGCCTACTGGCTCTTAACCCAGCTCAGCTTCCCTAGCAGCTCCTCCCTATTCCCTGTGGTAAAGAAAGTGAAGTTGGGTTGCGAAGCTGCCCCTGGTAGTGAAGAATCAGCTACCTGTGGTGCTCACGGCCAGGGAGAACCACTGCCCAATTCCTCCACACCAAGTCTTCCACCAGCTGCAGAGCAAATCATCTTTTAATTCTGAAACACCAAGTACTTAATTTATGTTCTACCTCAAATGTCAAGTCCACCTCCCGGCACATAGCTTTGAAACCACGTAAGGAGGCCTAACACTTTCCATATGGTGAAGACATGGGGCCTTTTAATTGTGCCAAGTGGTATCATTCAAGGGTAATTCCCCTGGAATCCAGCATTCGGGCAGCAGCTGGGCCAGCCTCCAATCTCATCACCCAGCCCTGCCCATCCCCATGGGCTCCAATCAGGCCTGCACCTTCCTAATCTTCCCCAAATATCAAAATGTGCTAGGTGCTCCCTAATCAAATTACCAAACCGCCTGGCAGCCGCCTTTGATCTAACGGCAGGCTTGCCTGGCCTGCAGCTCACAGTGTATTTCTGCAGGCAGCTCTGCTATAAAAGAACAAAAGGGTCAACCTGGGGGTGGGGGGTGTCTTAAACCTGCTTGTGCATAGTCACACATGCAGACACACATACACACCACGTGAGCCAGGAGAGGCGCAGAAGTCTGCATCGCCATACTGTCCTGTCCAGCACCTGAGTTCGCCCTCTAGTCTGTCATCTGTTAAACCTTCGCATTCACCCATTGCTTTTCCCAAGCCCAGTATTTCCAATCGGTCTTCTTTTCCAACTGCCTGTTGCTGCTGTGCATTTCCAAGATTCTCCATCACATCTCTGCGACGACTGTGCTTGTTTTCCTTCCTTGTTCTGTGCACCACATGGCTCTCTGGCATGTGCATGGCTCGGCCTATTGTTCTTCTTTCAGATTACTTGTAGCCTCCCTACTTCCCCTTACTTTTCTCCTATGAGCTCGTGTGCCCTTGGATTTTATCATGGTCATGGAAGGGGCAAAAGCCCAGGTCTTTGCCTGGGTCCTTCCAAGTCAGGGGAATGGGAGGAGGCAGATAGCTGTGCTTTCATAATCCCATTCTATGCACCTCCATCTCCATCCAGGTTGTTTATGAAGAGTAATCTGTTGTCACTCTACTAGGCATAAAAATAATAACACATCCATTTTGCAGAGGAGCTAATTAAGGTGTAGAAAGGCAAATGTAACCAAGCCTGACCTCAGTGCTATCTGCAGTTAGGAGAGCAGGCCCGGGTTTGTGGCAGCCTGGTTACCCTCTCACACTCCAGGACCTTGCATGCAATGAGAAACCATCCTGGACATTCACCGAGTTCCTCAGACCCACAAGGGAAGGGGACAGAAGAGCAGCCCCTTGCACTTCAGCCGGCACCACCCCGGCTCATCTCCACATGCTCGCCAGCCAGCTGGTGCCCCCCCATGAGTCCATGCGCACCCTCCCAGTCATACTCTGGTGCACAGCCTCTCCACATATGACCTCCTCTCTCCTAGAAAGTGCTCCAAGGAGGGAGAGATGCTCAGTCCATACCAGCTGGCAGGCAACCCCAGAGGGTTACGGGGAGATTAAGATAATGTAAGCAAAGTGCTTGACATCCACAGGCACTTAATAAATAGTAGCTGTCACTGCAATAGTAGTAATATCAGTTGGATAAGCCACTAATGTGTCCCCAACCACTTGGTGACAGGCCAGGTGGAGGAGAGACAGAAGCCATCCTGGAGACAGGCTGGAGCTGGCTGGAGGACACTGCCAGCCCTGGAAGCCAGCACACGTTGGAGCCCACGCCCTCCTACACACCGATGATATCACAGGACAGCCTGCCAGCTGCCCCTCCAGTGCTGGCGGCACTCAGGAAATGAAACAGGGCTGGGGAGAGTCCACTATTGTCCCTCAGGGTCCCCAAATTTGGGCATTCAGTCTCATATTCACAGTGCTGACCACTTGTACTCAGCATTATTCTCTGAATCCACTTTCCACTATCTCTTTAACTTAGCTTCATCCTAAACAATCGTATCTATGAAATCATGGGTTTGATGGCCTATTTTTTTTCTAATTAAAAAAAGAGGTAGCTATTAAGATTAAAAGTGCTCCTCCAGGCACCATTCACAGGCTTCAGGTCCACCCCACACCTGGGGCTCTCCATGACCATCTCCCAGGGAAGCCTCGTCTTCCCTAGCTCTGCACACCCGGAAGCTGAGCCATCTGGACCAGGGCAGGTGAGGAACCAGGCATTCAGGCGCAGCCACTAAGAATAACTCCCACGGAGGCAGAGAGCCCTGCTCCTCAATGTCTTTGATGACTGGGCCCACCCTCCAGCCACCCAACACATGTCATGCCGATGGCTCTATGCCTCACATCTTCAAAAGTACTTTGAACAAATATTAATGACCCCTCAGCGTTTCTCTGAGAGGGAGTGAGGGAGGAAGGGGGACAAGCACCATCCCATGCTGTCCTCAGCTGGAGGAAGAAACCAAGCAACAAAATTCCATGACTTCACCAAAGCCACAGACTTAAGCTAGGGCCCCCTCCTCACCCTCCCTCATTTCCCCCAATGGCAACTTTTACTGGCTTGCATTCCTCTTGCTGGGAACACTACTATTTAATTAAAAACGACAGACTTTTGTTTTCCTCTCCTTCTTTCCTCCCCCCACCCCATCCTCTCAGACTGGATGCCAAGGAGACCCACCAAAAACATGCGGGTAACATTTGTTATGGCTTTGAAGATAAAAGTCAATTGAAGTAAGCCCTCGCTGTATTTCAAGTTTCCCCTCTAGCATGGAGCAAAGCTGCCTGGCAGTTTAGGAAAGAAGAAAAAAAAAAAGGAAGGACTGCAAATAAATGTCATTCTGCAGGAATACTTTGTAAAAATAAACAGGCTGAAAAAACCCAAAACTTGATTAATGGAAATCCACTCACTTGGCCTCTGTCTTGAGCTGCAAATGCATTTGTTCATATGGCTAAACTGGATCGTGTTCATTGGCCTTTAAATAAATAAGTAGATGAAAAACCAGAGATGAAGGGGAAAAAAGAGAAGTTTGTAGTTCTGTTGTTAAAGGGCTAGACTGCAATGCTCCCCACCCACCACGGCTTGACCTTCCACAGGGACTAGCAGCTCCAATTCCAACCCAGCAAAGAGACAACTGGAAAAGAGAAAGGCCCCAACCAGACAATGTAGGAGGAAGAGCAGGGGAGCGCTTCTCCAGGATACAGCACAAGTGTACGGGCCCACCTCCCGGCACAGGCCCCTGCCACCCAGCCACCAGGTCCCACCATCCAAACCCACACACATCTAAGTCTCCATCAGGCTCTCCCCAGCTAAGACCAAAGAACTAAGTGGACTTGAGTCTCAGTCTGTTTCCCTCTAAGTTAAAAAAAAAAAAAATTAAATGTCACATCAAAAAGTTGATTCATCCTTTGATCCTCAGCTTGCGAGAGTTCCACGCAGCCCATCTCAAAGCCCCGTGCAGAGTTATGGAGCTCATAGGACATCTGTGAACACCAGTCCCAGGCCAGGAGCTGGGGCTGCTCTCACTCATTCCCCTGTCACACTCACTGCTTCTCTGGAAACAACTCCAGCCTCCGGAACCTGCTGGCTGAAGGCACAGGCTGGTGCCTGGACTACGGCAGACCAGCGCCCTTTCTCCTGCAGGCGACACTAAGGACCCTGCTGGGTGTCTCTGTCCCCTTGCTCTCTACTCTAATGCCAGATGGCACTTATGAAAGCTACACACACTCGGGTGGCGGGTGGCCACAAGATCCTGGCGGGTATAGCCTTGCCTTCCACCAACACATCCCTATGGCCTCTCCATCTCCCTAGACTCAATAACTCCAATTCCTTCCCACCCCTGTGGAGCGGGATTGAATGCTGGCCACAGATACTAAGTAGAAGTCACAGCAGGCCCTGAAATCCCACCAGCAATCCTTGCTTATCAACTGGACCTGTGGCACCTCCTCACCTAGGACACTCTCCCCAGGTGGCCCTCTGCCCCCAATTGACAAGACACAGGTGTCTGCATGACCTCTAAGTTTCCCCAAAGCAGGAGGACACAGGATCATGCTGGTAGGGCAAGGACAGATAAGGACTTCTGGACCTAGGCACTGTGTTAAGAGGGTGCTAAAAGTTGGGATGTGGAGACTCCTCCCTGAGGCTCAAGGGGTGAGGGGATGGTACAGGGTGGGGACCATACCCGGGTGCCTCGACCAATGGTGCCTGCCAAACGCAGCTGCCGAGGTCCCGAGAGGCCGCTGGGGCAGCGCTGCCTCCCGATCCACTCTTCGATGCCTTTCCGAGCCCAGGCAGCGCTCACCGCAAAGCTGTCACCTGGGACAAGAGACAAGAGGCCCCTGAGTATGCCTCCTTCCCTCAGCGGCCCAAGGAAAGTTACCCCTGGGGAGGGAAAGAGTGGGCGCGGCTGCCCAGTAAAGGCGCTCACAGGTTCAAGGGGTTCAAGAGCTGGGATAACTCCAAGACAGCGGTTACTCAGGACAGGCAAATCACCAAAACCTCATCAAGAGAGGGGTGAGACAGTGGAGAGGAGGGGTTCAGGGATCAGAAGAAGGAACACTGGAGGCCCCAACTGCAGAAAAGGGGTCTGAGGTCAGGAGTGAGGGCGCCGTGGGCACGGGAGCCCAGATCCCGAGGGAAGGGACTGCGGCCAGAAAGATGGGGGTAGAGTCTTAGGGTAAGGGACTTGGGGGTGTGATGAGCGGGCGCAGAAGCGGAGACGCAGGAGGGGGAGGGGGTTAGGGTCAGAAGTGGAAACGCAGGACCGCGAGGAGGGGAGGAGACTCGCAGGAGGAGCGAGGACCGCTCCGGCAGCGGGCTTGGGGGTCTGGTCGCGTGAGTTGGGGTTGGGGTGGCTCCGGTAGCTAAACCCAGCGCGCTGGGCCCTTCGGCCGCCCGCCGCCTGGGTGCCTCCCCATCCTTCCCGGTGGCCCCGCGCGCCCCTACCTTCCGGGCTCTCCCTGCGCTTGCACACGGCGGCTGCAGGCACATCGCGCGGGGCGGCGGCGGCGGCGGCGGCGGGAGCCGGAAAGAAAGGAGAGGGAGAGAGTTAGCAACGCGGTGAGGGGACGCGGGCCGGGGTGGCGGCGCGCGCGGCGGGGGCACTGACCCGGCTTGGAGTGAAGTTTCCCCATGCTGGGGGCGCGGCAAGCGGGACGTCCCTAAGCCATGCGCCCGGCCCGCGGGCCCTGCACCTCGCCTCGCTTTCCTCTTCCCAGAGCAGCCCAGGAACCCAGCAACCCCGAGGCGGCGCCGGGACGCGCTCCTGCCGCCGTCGCCGCGGCCCGACTGACGCCCGGGCGCGCCGAGCCCCCTGCCCGCC